ATATTGACATGACTACAAATGATAATTTGTTTAGCAAATTAGGAATATTGTACTTCAAGAAATAAAAGATTGAAAAGAGGTACACACTCAATCTAGCTCGGTAAAATCTCCACCAGCTGATTACCTCGGCATTTACTTTTTTCTTATATCTGACAAAAATTAGGTTAGGTGAGATCCCAACAAACATTTAATTTTTAAGCTGATTCTCGGCAATTTTTTTATTGAATGTCAGCTAAATAAATTGCAGACAAATTAAGTAGGGGAAATGGCTCTAATGCTGGCCTATGGATCTACCTATAAGATTGGGTCCATTGCTAAAAATCTGCTATTTATCAATTTTATCTAGATGAATGCGTTATTGGGACGGTACTAATGGATATTTTTGGTCGCTATTGAAAATTTAGTCGATTGCTAAATTTATATATTGGTCCAAATTAGGGACATTTAGGCCGACATTTTACATCCATTTCCCCTTTGTAGTCTAATAAGCAACGATTTAGTAAAATCATTTTAATTGCATTCATACCAAGCCATTCAAGTCACAAACTATATTTATAAACTAGTAACCAACATTTCAGAATAATGATGATGATGATGACGATGATGATGATGATAGTGGTCTACACTCATTGTAGCACCAAAACTAGTCCGATAGCTGTGGGCTCTCTCATTTATATTCATTTCATGCATTCATTTACATTCATTTGCCTCTAACTTTTTTCATCAATAGCATTTCGCAAAATAATGTATAGAGCTTTTGTAGGTTTTGTTATTAGCTACAACTTTTGTTAAAAACTCAAATCTGTATCTCTTATGCATCATAAATTAGAGTGGGCAGAACTCGTTACTGTTTTTCAGTGAATATAAAATACATTCACTGAAAAACCGTAGTGGATTCTTTTTGCTCTCGTTCGTCATGCATAAGAGATACGGATTTGAATTCCTGACAAAAGTTGTAGTTAATAATAAAACCTACAAAAGCTCTGTACATCATTTTGCGGAATTCTGTTGATGAAAAAAGTTAGGGGCAAATGAATGTAAATGAATGCACGAAATGAATGTAAATGATTTTCCATGCCTGGGCTCTCCTCACTATTGAACTTCATCAAGCTTAATAACCTTTGATTTACATCAGTAAATTGCTGTATCAAACGCCAAAAACTAATGAATGGATTGATAGGCAATTCGCCTATTCATCTCCTTGGGACAGTTAAGAACAGAACTTAAAATTATTGACTGCCTAGGCTGAGTGTGAAAGCACTGCACTATTCAATCTATTTCTCTGTGCAGACCGTTTGTACCAAACGGTAAAGGACGAGGCAATGAAAGAGCCAACAAAAACATTCAGTCACTCACGAGCAGGCGACGCACACCGCTTGCATTCACTCTCACAGCATGTAATTGAGTCATTTTTCTATAGAAAATGCACGCTCAGTCATTCTAAACAAATATTGGGTACCATCACGGCAGAATAAACGTTGACTGAGCTACTGACTGAGTGCTCGGCTGTCAGTGACTCGATTACCTCTGAATCATTCAGACTCTCACGAGGCAGTGAATGATGAGGCAGATGGCAGTTCATATTCATATCAAAATGACTCAATGAACCTGACTGTTTTGCGCACTGGTTAAGAATCTCCTTCCAATAACTTGATCAGTCAATTGGTCAGAAAACGAGTCATCCAACAGGAAGATGCCCCAAATGAACGGTAAGAAGAGCCCGCCCTTTGTCCACGAAATGTTAGCAACAGGGAGTTGACATTTTCACTCTCCCCATCCAAATTGCTTTAATTGGGTACCCTGGTGGTGCCTCCTCTTCCCAGCATTTATTGCTTCATGTAGTTTTAAATTTACACTTTTATATGCAAATGCTATAATTTTGAGAAAGTATATACGGAGACTTACCTTTGATAATGTATACCTATGATGATGCCCTAATGGATGCCTGCCGCCGTTGATTGCTTCTTTTGGAATGTTTTGTACATTTTCTCTACCGCTTCGTATTTCATTTCATGCTTCACCGGAAATTTCCTTCTGTAGATCGTACTTGGTCGATTCTGACATGATTCCGCCTCTTGCGTTTTTTTTTTTGGGTTTTCTTGTTTTCTCGAGGTTGATCATTTCCGTTCCTGATTTGACGTTGACTCTTTCTTCGCTGGTTGGTGTGTGTTAGGTCTTATATCCACATCATTGAATCAATGTTGAGATTATGGTTTATATGCAAAGTGCGAAAAGAGAATGAAAGAAAGAAAAAAATACGAACGAGATTAGTTTCAAGCAAGGTTGGAAATACTCATTTCAGCTAAAATAATGTTTTTCGGAATAATAAAACCAAAAGATGGTATGATGGCATGTTTTACTGGTAACTTACAAGAAGAGGTTACAAAGTATGCGTCCTGTAAATTTTGCTTTCTATGAGTCACAATCAGCGATTTTCTGATCGCTGAATGAGTGAGTGAGTGAGTGAGTGAGTGAGTGAATGAGTGAGTGAGTGAGTGAGTGAGTGAGTGAGTGAGTGAGTGAGTGAGTGAGTGAGTGAGTGTGTGAAAAATCGCTGATTGTGACTCTCATGAAGTGAAATAAACAGGTTTTAATATGTCAAACACATTCTTTGCAACTTCTTTTTTGTATCCTAGAATTCAAAATATGATCCTGGCATCTAATTATTTAATAATTAAAAAAAAAACATTGTTTTTGCTGAAATGAGAATTTGCAACCTTGGTTTCAAGAAGTGATATTTTCATCGGATTCCCTAACTAACCATACTCAAGCAAAATAAGTATATATGAGCTATATTGCAATTATATGGTTACTTTGGTCTCAATATTACATGATAGACAAACAGACACAACACTTTGGACATTTCTCATTTTAAAACATCGTCACTAATATACTACTGCGATCTGTCGCTTACCCTTTACATAAAACAGTAAAAAAAAGGTTATCTTCCAATTAATTCCACTCAATTAATTTTGGTATCCATGACAAATACGTATTTCGACTACAATATGCAGTCTTCATCAGTGTCATTCCCATTAAAGAACTTATTAAAATCTAACCCCCTTAAGTATAAAAATGAAACTACAATGTGTTGAATCGGAACCTACCTTACTAATAAAAACCAAAGATTTAAGTAAACTAAAGGAGAAAAATCTGTACAACTCTTCAATAAGGAAGTTTACCCTTTGTTAATACACTTAACAGATGGCTGTAGTGTGTAAACGTCAAATGAAAGGGAATTGATGATAACATTTTGCAAAACCTCTTGTATTCAATAATTAAAAAGTTATGGCCTTGTTTGATTCCCTTACCTCTTTTGAAATCAATAGAATCCTGATTTTGCCATAAAACTCTACTTAGTTCATCTTTTACACATAATAGGACTCTACCAACCTTGATGGAACATTTAAATTAAGTAACATTTCTCTTAAAGTTTGCACTTTCACAGTATCAAATGCATTACTTTTATCTAACGCTAAAATAGTTTAATCTTCCTCCGCATTCTTCCATGACCCACCTAACTATACATATGTGGTCATTTGTTGATCTTCTTCAAGTAAATACAACTTGATGAAATCCTGGTTCTCCTGTAAATCTTCGAAGCTGATTACCTATCCTTTTAGCGTAAATTATGTATGCTACGTTACAAAGCGAAATTCTACGAAAATTTTCTGCTTCCGATGCTCCTGACTTTTTTTAAATGGATATCTGCGTTGACTTATTCCAATCTGAATGCATATTGTTTTGCACATAAATCATTTCAATGATTCTAACCAACTCATCTATCGTTGCCTCATCTGCATTTTTAAAATATTCTACAAAAACTCTATCTGAACCTAGAGACTTCCCATTGCAATATGTATTAACTATAAATCTGATGCCAAAATTTCAGAATGTTGGATACAAGAAATGAAAAGTAATAGCTCTTTGAATTTTCATGGAGAGACAAAACAAAAAATCTCGGGGTATTATTTTTGTATGTATAGTACTGTATGTCTTGCTTGGTATCTTACCGACAACTCGATAACTACGATGAATAATTGTACTGTATTTACAAGACATAATTTTAAGGTTTAATTTTCAATTATAACATAAGTGATAGTTCTTGACCAACGTGAGAGTTGGGCTAAAAGGCAGCGAATTTGAATGCAGATTTTTCACGAATTAAAGGCTCATCCATGCAAATCACCAGCACCATTTGGTAAAGCATGTTTTATCTATATAAATCACAATCGAAGATCCATATTATCCATGGGTTGGGTTGTGTATTAAGCAAATATGAACTCAGGAGAAACCCAGTACAGCAAATTTGAAAAAGAGATACTAAAGAGCAATGAACTCCGATGAATTCTACAAGGAATTAAGGAGATAAATCTTGTTTGGCATTTTGGAGCCCATAGATATATTATGGGTAATCTCAGCGAAGTGCTCTAAGAAGGATTCTAGCGAATTCCCAAAGTATTTCTGAAGGATCAATGAGCAAATCTAGAAAATATCATAAAATAGGAGAATCGCACTAAGACTAGATTATAAATAAGCTTAAAACAGATTCCGTATAATTTAAGCAGCGCCGATGGTGTAGTGGTGAGCGTTCACCCCAAAAGGCCTTTGTTCAATCCCAGTCGACACCGCCGGGATTTTCTGAGGCATACAATCTCTGATCACGCCTTCCTTCGGAAGGGAAGCAAAGCCGTTGGTCCCCGGTTCATGAATTGATGGGTCGATAGGTAGGGTCCAGATGTAGGAGCTGCCTCCCTGGTGTCAGCAGCATTGGTGCTCAGCACGGAAAACAAGATCGACGAAAAACAAATCAAGGAAAAAAATATGCACGAAATTTCGTTCAAATTAACGGGGGTCCACAGTTTATGTAACTTGTGGATCATGCACGACTTATTATCATGTATACTGGAATTTCAACCAAGCCTGGGATAATGTCTTTAGTATCGGAATATCTCTCATCAGATCATGCATGACCTATTGCCATGTTCTAGATGTTATAGGCAAGGTTGCAAAGACTCATTTCAGCTAAAATAATGTTTTTCGGAATAATAAAACCAAAAGATGGTATGATGGCATGTTTTACTTGTAACTTACAAGAAGAGGTTACAAAGTATGCGTTGGAAACATAAAACCTGTAAATTTTGCTTTCTATGAGTCACAATCAGCGATTTGCTGATCGCTGAGTGAGTGAGTGAGTGAGTGAGTGAGTTTGTGAAAAATCGCTGATTGTGACTCTCATGAAGTGAAATAAACAGGTTTAATATGTCAAACACATTCTTTGCAACCTCTTCTTGTATCCTACCAATTCAAAATTTGATCATGGCATCTAATTATTTCATAATTTAGAAAAACATTGTTTTAGCTGAAATGAGTCTTTGCAACCTTGGTTATAGGTTCTCCAAATCGTACCGGGTTCAGTTGATTTGTTCTACTAGATCAACCTAGACTAGGACTATGTCTCTAGTATCGAAATATGTCCAAACAGATTCATTGTACTATGTGGATCATGAACGACTTATTGCCTTGTATACCGGATATTGTAGGTTCTCCAAATCATTCCGGAGTTCAGCTAATTTGTTCTACTAGATCAACCACAAATGTCTGTAGTTAGCCTCCTAAAAGCCTTGAATCGAGTCTGGTCCAGTGAAGATCTCCCTACTGCCCGATTCCGATCCCCAAAGGTGTAGGAAACACAAACGAAGCCAGTAACTTCCGCTCAATCTCGCTAACGAGTTGTTTGGACAAAACCATGGAACGAATGGTGAATCATCGGCTCATCGCGCACTTAGAGGAAAACGGTAATTTGCGCCACAGACAACAGGCAATGGCTGTGGAATCGGGCCACCCTCTCACTAATCAGGAAAGCATTTTCCGTGCTGGAAAAACTACCCAACAAGTGCAACGGCTTTCGCATTTGAAAAAAAAAAAACTTGTAACTGTCCAACATAGACCTTGGCACAAACGGAAATCCTCAATCGATTGGACAATCAAAGTGAAAGTCAAAGCAGGACAGACGCCTCAGTTAGCAAGGAAAGCTTTCCGTGAGCTATTAGTTCAGAAAAATACCAACAGCACAATCGGTGGTACACAGATGTTTGGCTGATGGGAAAGTTGGCTCCGGTGTAATTGGTCCTACACAGATAAAAATTCTGAATTTTAATTGTGATGTAAACATTCATTCACGTAAACTTGTATTTCATCTCACACAACCGAGCAACTTGTAAACAATGTTGTTTACAAAGATGGGCTTTTGTATACAATATATGCTACATTGCATGAAATGTGTCAGAACTTTATATGATATATAATGTAAACGTATATGATATGTGACGCTCCATTTATGTGTATTATATTGAACAGAAATTTACACTACTTTTTCGAACTGTGTACAACTAGAATTGAAGCTGGTATTTCTAATCAATGTTCTGTTTTCACCGCCGAAGCTGCATTATTGTTATGGGCAACTCGTGAAGTAAATGGCAAATCCGTTATATTTAGCGACTCTACTAGTTGCCTACAAGCACTAGAAGCACGAAAGTCCAAGAACACGTGCGTTCAAGCCATCAAGAAGAAGGCAGAAGGAAAGGATATTTGCTATTGGTTGGATTCCCGGTCACTAGAAATGACCGACGGTGACAGAGCAGTAAATAAAGGTTGACAGCTAGAGAAAGGTACAAACCAATGTTTAAGCTACAAGCTAAAAATCTTGTTAATAAAGCATTAAAAAATGATCCAGCACACGATATTATTGAATGGAGTAAAAGTGAAATATGGAAAACACATCAGTCAACATGGGACGGATCAGCAAGGAATATTACTAGGATTATGAAACCAACAGTTAGTGGATGGATGGACCAGATGGACAGAAGAGACCAAATAGTTCTGCCGAGTATGTGTTACGAGGCTTCGACTTGGAAACACCTGGCTAACAAAACACCATTTGTTTGAAAGGAAACCACAAGAAGTTTGAGAGATGAACTAGCCTACGGCTAAAAATCTCTAAAATAAAGGTTGAAAAAAAAACAAGAAGTTTGCAATACCTGTAACACCAAACAGTTCATCATATACTAATCGGCTGTCAAACGAAGTGGGTTTCACGCTATTTTGAATCTACCCAGTAACTATGTAAATGGCACCCAGTCTTGTAGCCAGTAAGGAGTTGTCAAAATCTTGGTAAACAATCTTTGTTCTGATGAGTAGAATCTACCCAGATTCTGGGTAAATGGTTCTAAGTGAAAATTTCCCAAACTTAGACATGGTTTGTTGTGCTGCCAGTGAAATGATTACTGTTCAAAATATACAATTCTGACGCTAAAAATGTTACAGCTACGGAACTGTTTGGATTGCGAGTGCTACCAGCAGCTATAGTTAGTAAGTATATTGTTAGTTTCTGAACTTTAAACTTTCTTATATTTATAGGTTATAAAGATATTCCGTGCCGCTTTTCTTGATGACAAATCTTTGTTGTTGTTCTTATTTAAAAACTTATTTAAAATCAAATATCAATAAATGGTTAGCATTTGTAATGATATCCTTATTTGGGAATTGCAATGCCTTATTCCATAGTTATACATTTTTTCGACAATCATTAACAGGTTAGATAAACCGAGAGATGAGCTATAGTCAGGTGAGGTTATGTTTGATAGAGCTGCTGCAGCGGTCATATCAACAAATTTCTATTAAATGAGTAAAGTTTACCCAGTTATCAAATGTCAACATCTGAGTAACCGTTACCCAGTTTGTGTCGCAAGTACGTTTACCCAGATTTGGGTAAATGCATGTTTACCCATTTTTGGATAGGTTCAGTTTTGACCGAACTGGGTAGACTCTACTCATTTTTGGGTAGTTTTCAAGTAGCGTGTTCCGCGACGACGTAGAATTTGTATTAAGAAATAATTGGGCTGCCGAAGTGAAAGTACTAAGTTTTTTGAAAAAATTAGAATGTATAAGAAAATTTTCAATGTAGGGGAATTTACGTATTCTCGGCAACCTAAGCAGCGACCTTCTTTCTATAGCCTTTTTCTCTATGGAACGCACACATATGCAGTATTGGTTTGTTTACAATCTTTTGCTGCCAGCTGCTCTAACAATTTCAGTCGAAAGAATTGCCAAAAACTGTTTTGAAACGCTTTTACAAAGCTCCAATCTTCTCTAGTGAGAGCGAGTATTGTCGGCAACCAGTTTTTCTTCGGCAACCGTTCCATTTGAACTGCATGTAAATCTGCTGTTCTATTATCGGCAACTCGAAATCAGCTACAATTTGTAGTGCGTGTGTTTCATTTCAAGAAAACCCTGCTAGATTGCTTTTTCTCAGTGGTAAAAATATAGCCAAATTGAAGCTGAAAGCATAAAGAATAGTTTGCATGCATTCAGCGAAGTGTTTTCATAAGAAAATCCAGTGAAAATAGTGTTTCAATTTATGTTGCCGAAAATAGTCTGTCATGCCGAAGCCGTCTCCCTGTTTATTTTGTGAATTATTAAATATATATAAAAATCTTAAACTTTCAGCGACGAATGCCCATGAAGGGTAAAGTCTCTTTAAAAAAAATGTATGTGGTATCGAAATATGTCCAAACAGATATATAGTGGCTATGTGGATCATGCACGACCTATTGCCATGTATACCAGACGTTCAGATGGTTTGTTCTACTAGATCAGCAAAGACTGGGACAATAATGTTAAATAAAGTAGGTAAAATATACTAAGTTATTTATTTCACGTATCAGCCTCGCTAATTAAAGGATAAACTTGCACCTTATTGAAAACCATTGCTGCAATACTTATTGAATTGCCGTGAATTTAGCGTAAAACAGCAACTAAATAGGGAACCCATAATGGGCCAATTGACCCTACCTACAAATTGGTTCAGATGTGCTGGCGCGGAAAACGAAAAACATCGAGAAACACTCGAAAAAAACAGTGCAATCAAAAGTGAGTTCCGATTCGTCAATAATGACCATTAAAAACAACAGTTCGAAAATTGTTGGTTGCTTGGTTGACGATGGACTTTGCTTTCCCGTTTCCTCTTTTTTCTCGGCGCTTTTTTTTTCAACGAGCGCTCGGTGAGGAAAGCCATTAAAAAAAATAAGTGACCACTTTGTGCCGATTAATCAACTGGTTCTCTCACTTCTTACGCTCTCTCCCTCCCATCTCTTGCTTGCTCTCTCTCTCTCTATATGTGATGTGCCTGTGATGGTTCGTTGGTCGGTATAATGATCGGTTGTACCGGATTAAATAAAGTGATGCATTTGTCATGTGATTTATGGGACATTTCTGCCGATGATTTGCGGTTCCCGAACTCGTTGTTGGATTAAATGAATGGGAAGCAATAAAGATAAGCACAAATTGGCATTTAATGTTGGAAAATTGGAACTTTGGTGGGGTAAAGCGGCAGTGAAATGGGATAGGAAACCGTACACCAAAACTAATGGATATTAAATAATGTGGCATACACAGCTCAAGGTCACCAACTTTTTTGGACTGTCGGAAAAGTCTGTGGTGATAATTTCAGCTCCTGTGCTGTGAACAGCTAGTTATTGTAATTCAATTTGAATTTTAATTAATTTTTACCCGATTTTGTCAGCACATTTTTGAAAATCTAATGGTCTATGAAACTCATGCGCTTTTTCAGTGACCTAATTGCACCAAAGTACACATGAAACAGATTTGGAATTACGGCTATGTAAAATTGTTGATAGATAAAAGTGTGATGCGCAAGCCCCTCCGACAAAATAGGACAGTTACTATATTTTCCTGAAAGAAGTAAATTTTCTACTGGTTTGCGAGAAATAAAGGAAAATACATTATGTATAAGGCTGCCATAAGAGACCGTCCACACGGAGCAAATAAAAAGCTTGCAATATTAATGAAATGCTGTTGATTTAATGCAATTTTCCAGCCACAATAAAAGCGCAAATGAAATTTATGATACCTCTAAATATAACGATTTACTGTATGGAAACCAAATAAAAACCAAAACGAATTACTGAAAGCCCGCGTTAATTTATGCAAATCCTTTTTGCACACAAAATCCAAATACTGCGCAGAGCCGTGACGGAATGGCAATAACCCAAATTGTTTTAATTTTTACACTACTTCCTCCCGGTGTTTTCCCGGTCACCCGGTCATAAACCTTCGATAATTCAGAAAGCACCCTTCCTCCCAACAAGCACTTCTCTAGATACTCAGCCCGGCCGCAGTCGATCGAACCAAATGTGTTATTTTCCACTTTCCCTCGTCTCGGCACATGCGGTCGCATTTTTTCCTATACAATTCATACCATTCACAAAGCACGGAGCGGACCCCCCCCCCCATCATGAGAGGTCAGGTCAGGTTCCAGTGAAACAACCTGCGGACGCACCGTTTTTCGCATCGTTAAGCAGTCGT